GTACTTGTACTTGGTCTTAAAAAAGTGGCATCGGGACATCCCTACTTGGTAGTGTGCTCGCTATGGAGCAGCATATCTCTAAGATAAGTGGCCCTTTTAGCCATAAGTTTGGTCTTCTCACCTAGAATCTTGGTCAGGTTGTTATCCAGCATAAGAACTGGCCAATGCTTTTCCAACAGAAAATATAATTTTTCCCAGTGGAGCCAAACCTTGTGACCATCCCTAGTTTGACAGTTCTATCCTTTCTCTTTTTCAAATTCAAAATATCTGATCTGTCATATAAGAGTGCTTTTGCTTTGCCTCTTCTTAGTTGGAAAATTCCCTAGCCTGAAACCTGGCTTAATTTCCAGCTTTCTATATGGTGATCCATATTATTCAAGCAATTCCTGTGCAAACGCAGGAATTGTCTGGTGGGAATTCCTTTTATCAATGGCCACGGATGATAGCTGGTAGCGTGTTTATTAAATGTGGATGTTTTTATCCCATTTCAGATCTTATAATTCCAGGAATAGATCCAGGTATTCAATTTCCTCTCTACTAGACTTATAGGTCAGAAAGAGGTTACCCTCATTATATTCAACAATGCCATACAAGTTTTTAATTCCTCTGCACACCCCTTACATATCATCAGCACATCATCAATATAGCGAATCCAAGTAAATACACGTTTAGCAAAGTCTGGCATCATATATAAAGTCTGGCATCATATATATATTTGAGCCTCCTCCCACCAGCCAAAATGTAAACACGCATAAGTGGGAGCATAGACTGCACCCATTGCTACACCACTTATTTGGTTTACATAGTAGCCATTGAAGACAAAGACATTTTCTTTTAATACCAACTCTAATCATTCAATAAATTCATTTTGTGTTCCAACAACTGTGCTACCACCTGCCATACAAGTGCCATGCACTGTGCTACAGCCTTTCCACATATGGCCTAACCATTTGCCAATCTATGATTCTACAACAATTCCGTACACTTCATGGAGACTAAATGAGCTGTTTCTTAAAGACCTCCCTACCCAACTGGAAGTCAAACCTGCGATGGACAACTTCACACATAAAGTGGATGGCAGTGCCTCCCTGTTAAAGTGGGAGGCTCTGAAATGTGTTCTGCAAGGAACTCTAATAGTCTAAGGATCATGTCTCAAAAGAGAAAAGACCAAAGTCATCTCGAGCCTACTCCAGGAAATCCACACATTTGAAACTGCCCAAGTGTTCACATTGCCCTTAGACTCCAAACTCTTATACAAAAATGTGTAGCTTTGCATTTGTTCTAAAACAATTCATCCCCTCACAGCTACCTCCTCATGTAGTATATTTCTCCCTCCCTTTTAGATTGTAAGCCGTCACAGGCAGGGCCCTCCTTACCATCTTGTCTTGAATTGTATTGTGATTGTAATTTCTTCCTTATATTGTAAAGCGCAGCACATACTGTTGGCGCTATATATAAATCCTGTATAACAATAATAATAATACAACCACCACAAGGATTGCCCCCTAAGGACAATGTACTGTATAAAAATGAATATAAGTAGGGTAGACATACTGCTTGCTAAATTTATGCTAAATAAGCATGTACCTACATAGTGCAGTGCATTACATGCGGTGTGCAGGCGTTTACATGCAGCTGCTGTCACCTGATCATTAACTTCAATGGGTAACAGTGGCACCTTGTAAACGCCAGATTTGGGATTACTGCTGCAGGAATCCCTGACCTAATTGCACCTAAAGATACAGGTGTGAATGGAGCCTAATACACTCCCCCCCCCCCGACATAAAAAAAAATACTACCCATGTACATATAAATATAATAAAACACCCCGCTCCCCCCCTGCACACCCACATATAAAATGAAATAAAATACAGAGCCCCGTCTCCTGCTTACCTTTTTGCAGGGAGGAGGCTGTGAGGAGGCAGATCCATCCCTGGTGCTCTAGTGGTGATTAGTGAGGTCTGTTGCAGACCTCACCAATACATTCTTTCGACCGAAGCTCAGAACGGAGCTCCAGCCGAAAGGATCTCAGTACAGGAGCTGACAGGAGCAGCTCTGCGGTCTGCATCCGACAGAGATGTGTAGCTGCTCTTGCAAGTCAGGCCTGCGGGCCGGTACTTTGAGACCGCTGTACTTATGTTTATGTGTTTACATACATTTGTGTTTAGATGCATTTCGCACCAAACGTAACATGAAATAGTTTTTACATGTATTTTTATATATTTAGAAATTATAAATTGATACCGGGGCGCACCTGACTTCTATTTTTACTAAACGCAGCTAAACTGACTGTAAATAGAAGCATTTCAATGCAAAGTGTGAATAAATCCATTGGAAATCATTAGATGCATATATATATATATATGTGTTTAGAAAACCATTTTAAACACATATAAACGTATCTAATCGCACCCAGTGTGAATGTAGCCTTACTGGCAGTTTTAACAAGCAACTCTGAAACAAACTGGCCTTCTGCCTGGCTTACTAGCCAAGATTATAGCACTATATTCATCCCTTACAGCTCAGGTCTGTGTCATTTATATTAGTAATGGGACCCCTCAGAGCTGCTCTTTTTCCTTTTACCTATCTGTATTAGTGGAGGAGCACCTAGCCCAGGCACTTGGGCACACTTCATCCATGGAAGACTTTGATAAGACTTTTATATTCACCTACTCCACTGAACAATCCTGTTTAAGGCTATGTTCACACCATTTCCGGACCAGATCTTGAGCAGATCTGCAAATGCAGTGCGATTTGCTTTTTTTTTTAGCTTAAAGGGCATTCCAGTGCATTTCCATGCGTTCCAAAGCATTCCAGACCAGAGAAAATGAGACCAGCAGTATTTTTTTGGTCTGAAACGGAATGGACTGCGCTGGTGTGAACAGAATCCAGAATGACCATAGGGATACATTGGGATGCTTTTTTGGTCCAGGAACAAACTGTTCTGGTCATGATCCAGACATGGTGTGAACAAGCCCTAAAAGTGACAATGTTGCTCTATAAAGATAAGGTACGTGAGTTGAGTATTGTCACCCTAGGACAAAATGTGTTGTGGCAGAATGACCAGGTGAAAATAACATGAAAAAAAGACCTAAGGCAACCATCACATCTAAGGACTAGTAAGCTGCACTATACTACATTTTTGTTCTTGAGTGTAGATTTGCAAAAAAACAAATAATAAAAAAAATTCAAGCAGCAATTTAAAAGCCTTATTTGCAAACCATGTAAGTATACAGCCTGCCACATTACCACATTCATGCTGCAGTGTGAACAGCACAACTGCTGTTAGTGGATGGGAAAATGATACCATTCCGGAGTGTGAATATGCATGGGAAAGTACAGTAAGTGGGAATATGTTCTTACTGTTCTAATAAAACCTCTGTAGAACTATACATCAAATGATACTGTACTTATTATCTAGAACAAGGCAAATATGTTAGAAAAAAAACATTAATGCATACATCAAATGTACTGTTACGGTCATGCCTCCAGCATAGAGGTATAATTTGCTGTTGAGACATTTGAATTTGTTTGGGCTCCATCTATAATTATTAGGGATGAACCGATATATATTGGCCGCCGAAACATATCGGCCGAAAATGGCACTTTTGGCTCAATGCCGAAAGTGCCATTTTTGTGCCGATACATCGGCGCATCCCTACTTTCTCTCCTCCCGCTGGGCGCTGCTCTGTGTTTGTAGATAATTGAGGACATGGCATGTTGACTATAGCCTCAATTATGAACAAATGGGAGTGATCTACATCATCTCCTGTTCATTCATAATTGTGGTTATAGCAAACACACTCTGTCCTCACGTTATGAGGATTCCTGTTCGTTGATAACAGGGGATGCAGAAAAATACATTGAGGACTTTGTATCCTCAATCTCTTTTTCTATTTTAAAAGAGAAATATCAGGGGTCTGTTTAGAGCCCCACTATTCCCCCGAAGCCCCTAAAAGTAAAGTAAAAAATATTTAATACAAAATTAATTACTAAATACAAATAAATATAAAAAAATTAAAAAGTTTATAAAAAACATTTAAATAAAAAACATTTTCGGTTTCGGCCTGACAATTTTTTTTATTTCGGTTTCATTTCGGTTTTGGAATTTCCATTTCAGTGCACCTCTAATAATTATAGTTCTTTAAACCTATTAAAGCAGTACTTGTGCAATGCTTCCATACATTCCTTACCTCCAGAAAGAGGAAACAAGGAGCATCTTGGGAAACAGAACCACATATGACGGCAGTTTGGAGTTAACATCCATCTCTCCTTGTATGGCAGCATCACTAGTGCTCAGAATATACATTAAAAGGCCGGGAGGTTGCCATTTCTATGCTGGGAGAGGTGCATGCTAAAGATCCTGAAATGGCCATAGCCTGACCACAGGTTCACTTTAACCGTCCTGGTTGCGACTTCCTGGTTGCGACTGGCAGTCTAAAGGCGGTCTGTTGCCCCCGCCCAACCCTTGCAAGCGGGAAACTGTCCAAATTTAAAAACAGGCAGCGATGTCTGTTTACATACAAGCAATCCGCTGGCGATAGAGCCGGCGGATCGCTTGTATAACGCTCAGATCGTGCGCCCCGCCCCCCCCATCAGCTGGACCCCGTCAGCTGGTGCAGCGTTGCATGACGGAATAAATGTCAAAGTACTATAGGGCTGAATACTGAAAAATGACCTGGCCAGGAACGGGGTGTAAACACCTGGTCTTCAAGTGTATAAGATTGTTACCATTGGACATGCAGCTTAGTTAGAAACATGTGCTTGGCTGTTTGCTTTACTTACTTGTACTGTAGTTTGTGTTCTTCACTGTATGCCTTTCTTATTTTTTGCTCTAATTTCTCACTCACTCTGTTTAGTTAATAATCTTAAAGGATTAAACAATACAGTCCAGTTCTTAACGGACAGGAGGGTCTACCTGCATTTTGATCTTCACACATGCCACAGGGTAGCCTGTAGCAAGTACAAAACAGTTACTTTAAATAATGAGAATGGGTTACCTGGCAATAGTTTGGAGTGAGATATTTTCCATTGTGCTTTGCGATGTCACTCATAATGTGCATAGCCTTGTCTTTCTTTTTGCGTATTAACAGCCAGCGTGGGGATTCTGGGATGAACCTGTAGTACAAAACAGAAAACCAACATGCATACTGAAACTAGTGGTTACATTTCATTTTGTTAGCATAATATTTTATGATGGAAGTAAATATGAGAAGGCAGAATAAAGTATATGTATCTAAAATTTGACTAAAAGTGGTAAATGGTAGAAAATCATTTCCACATTGCTACATACATTTATGTGAACCAATACTACAGCATAAAACAAACTATTTTGTAATGCAGCGTGCATAATATACAACTGCCCAAAAACAATTGACCTGTGAAGTGACATGGCTGAGCGCATTCTAACTTGAATGCAGTTCTGCAATAAACAGAATGATGATAGCATGACTCTTGGTATTTTGTTTTATACATTTTAAGTAACCTCTCAGCCATTAAACTACTGGAGAAGCCCTGCCTGATCTTCATTGAAAGTATCATTACACTCTCATTTGACAGTGAGACAGTGAATAGGCAGGCTTAGTGCCAAAGGCAGCGCTTAGCCCGAACAGAAAAGTTGAGCCATCAGCTCCTCCTCTTTGGAAAGACTGACATTTCTGAAGTTTAAAATGGTGACAGGTTGGATTTTAATTAAGTGACAATATAAACAATGACAGGCTATTACTGTTACGATGTAACAGTCACTACCTACAGTATATTATGCTATAACATTAATTTATTTAAACTTTGGACTAATCAAGCAACTAAGACTAATATTTTATAAATTATGTTTCTGATATTTTTCAAATAATCATTATAATATAGTCATTTTATATTTGCAACTACAAGAAAAATATCTAGGACCATTTAGAAATAGATTTCTACATTCCTGGCGCCTAAAATGTGGTGCAATCTTTTAAGTCATAATATAAAATTAGGAATTCCTTTGAACAAACAGCACACAAAGAGGGGAATTCATCAAAACGGGAGCAGACAAAATCTGGAGCAGTTGCCCAGGGCAAGAGAGAGGGAAGAGAAAGAGGGTAAAAAATAAATAAAAATGAGCATCTATTTGGTGCTCAGGGCCGGGAGGCGGAAGGAGGGAGAGGTGGTGCAGTGGGGGGAGAGGGGATAGAGGCAAATCGTCAAAGACGGCTGGCATAAAATCTATATCTATTTGGAAAGAGAAAAATAGCATGGGACCCACCTTTAGTTGGACTGACCCCCCTAGGATAGAAGCCGGTATAACTGGTAAAGGCTCTGTATTATACGGAAGCCAGACTCTATCCGGGATGAATTGTTTGTTTTTGTTGTCTTCGTTTTTTTGTGGGTGATGAGGAATGGCTGGGGGTTTAAGTGGTGGGGGGTATTGCTTTGTAGTTTTTGTGTGTTAGGGTATGTAGGGGCTTATAGAGTTAATAGAGTCAAAGGGGAAAATAGGAAAATTAGTATGAGAGAATTCTGATGAATAGCATTAAGTTTGGATCCCTAAATGTTAGGGGTATTAACATCCCACAAAAACGTGCCCAGGTACTATACAATATGCATATCCAGCGAGTGGGAGTCCTCTTCCTCCAAGAAACACACTTCAAACGCTCTCAAACATACACTTGTTAATATCCATTTACCCAATAAAGGACAGACGGTAGTATTAGTAAAGATACTTAATCTCTTGAGTAACTTCATGGAAGGTATCCTGATCTTAGGGGGGGACTTTAATTTGACAATGGACCCCAAAGTAGATACGTCTAAAGGCTCATTCCATATCCCACATACTCAGCTTAATAATATAAAACAACGCCTACAGAGGTTACAGCTTGTAGATATTTGGCGTATATTACATCCGAGAGTAAGGAACTATACTTGCTATTCACCAACACATTTATCATATAGTCGTATAGATTATTTCTTTGTGTCTCATTGTCTAATAAGCTGGCAGATACAAGCAGACATAGGAGTTCAAATATGGTCAGATCATGCACCCATATTCTTCTCTATCAAACCACCAAATACCATGAAACCTAGTGCGACATGGCGACTGAATGAAAATTTAATACAAACTGATCCGGTAAAGGAGGCTATTAAGCAAGGTATTGCAAATTTTCTAAGAGATCATGAAAAGGACAATACAGCATGGACATTAAAATGGGAAACCTTAAAAGGGGTTACACGAGGAATATTTATATCCCATGGGATGCGATTAAAAAAAGAAAAGGAACACGATATAAAATCTCTCTTAGCTGACATACACTATCTGGAGAGTCAACATAAAAAGAATGTAGACATAAAAGTCTACAATAATCTCCAACAAAAGAGAATTGAACTACACCAAAGAATAGATCTGGGGTATCAAAGATATAAGGAAACAGTGAAACAAAACTTGTATGAATTCGGAAATAAAAACAGCCGATCTTTAGCACGCTCAATTAAAGAGACACAAGCCCGCACATATATTCCAAAAATTAATTGCCCAAACAAGGGTATACTTAATTCCTCAGAACTGATTGCTGAAACATTCCATAATTATTATAACAAACTATATAACCTAAGGGAAAATAAAATAATAAGAGAGGGGAGAAATGAACAAAAAGATAGATTGGAATATGTATGTCTGACACCATTGCCCAGAATAGATAATGAAGCAATTAATAAATTGGATACCCCAATATCATTAGACGCAATAACAGAAGCAATACTTCAACTACCGATGGGGAAAAGTCCGGGACCCGACGGGTTAACGGGCGTCTTTTATAGACAGTTTGTTGGAGACTTGGCCCCCGATATTATTAGAAGTGTTTAATGCCATTGGCGATGGCTGTGGGTTCCCACGCCAGAGCCAAGAGGCTTACATAACGTTGATTTACAAAGATAAAAAAGACCCCACACAATGTGCGAGCTACAGGCCGATATCGCTAATAAATGTGGATATGAAGATATACGCCAAGATCCTGGCCTCTCGGTTACAACCATATCTACAGGAAATAATACACCCAGAGCAGGCAGGATTTGTCCCGGGGCGAGAAGCTTGGGATAATACTATTAGAACAATCTCTCTGATCCAACAAGCCCAATCGAAAGAAATCCCTCTGTGCCTACTATCCCTAGACGCAGAGAAGGCATTCGATAGGGTGGATTGGAAACTTATTAAAATATTGTTGGAACAAATAGGAATACCGAAATCCCTAGTTTCAAAGATTATGGCATTATATAATAGCCCCTCTGCGAGGATTCGGGTGAATGAAATATTATTGGATAAGCTAGACATTACAAATGGGACAAGACAGGGATGTTCCTTGTCCCCCATGCTATATATCATAGCAATAGAACATCTGGCAATAGCCCTCCTCCAAAACGAGAACATCTGGGGGATGAAGGTAAAAGAGAGTGCTCATAAATTGAGTATCTTTGCAGATGACTTACTTCTGTATATTACCAACCCAAGGCTGGCCTTCCCTGCGATCTTAGAAGAGATCCAGAAGTTTGGGAAGGTCAGCAACTATCGAATTAACGCAAGTAAGTCACAATGCTTAGATATTACACTCCCAAAGGGAGAAAAGGAAATACTGAGCACTAGCTTCTCCTTTATATGGGTACCAGAAGCTCTGAAATATCTAGGGATACATATTCCAGCAGATTTAAGGAAGCTATACTCATTAAACTACGCTCCCTTGTTGGAGTCTACACAAGTACGTCTAGATGGGTGGAAAAGGAAACAACACTCCTGGCTCGGTCGGATGTCCATATTCAAGATGGACGTCCTTCCGAGATTTCTCTATATTTTTCAGACAGTACCAGTAAAGATCCCCCGAATATTTTTTCGTAAGACTACAATCTCTGTTGGTAAGATACATTTGGAATAAAAACGGAGTAAGTCCCCCCCCCCAGATATCAGAATGGGTGGAAGAACTAAATAATGTCATGCGATTTGAAGAACTCACATCTAGCTTACATAATAGATATATGACATTTAGGGAGAGGTGGAGCCCCTGGAGGGACTATACGAGTTCATCAGAGATTCTTAATTGTAATATGTAACGTGTTAAGTGTTGAGTATATGAATTGTTTTTGATGATATTTTTGTGATTTGTGATATGTGAAATCAATAAAGAAATATTTAATTCAGTTGCCCAGGGCAACAAATTAGCTTCTCTCTTCAGTTTGTTCAGTTAAGATTTGAAAATGAAAGAGATACATTGAGTGGTTGCCATGCACAGTTACTCCAGAATTTGTCTGCTCCAGTTTTGATAACTTATCCTCAATATTTTGCACTGTGCTAGCTTTATTTAACAGATGATTTCGACCGAGGGGTAGGCAACTTTTGAAGAGATGGGGCTCTAATTGAGAAACACTTTACTGTCAAGTCCCACAAAATAAGTTTGCTTTCAGATTGTTAACCGGATTTACATTGAACCCTATGGGAAAATGTGATTCGGTTCACAACCAAAAATCGGTTCGCGACCACGTTCGAAGGGGTCAGAACGGATTAACCTGATTTACATTGAACCCTATGGGAAAATGTGATTCGGTTTGGTTCCCGACCAGAATCGTGGAACCAATTAAGTTCGTGAACCGAGGTACCACTGTATATGTAAACAGCATATACCCCTCTATCCGAAGAAATTGAACATCTGGTTGCACTTCCCTGCATGTGTTCCTCACTTTTCACTTGCTCTCTAAACTCTTTTCCAGCTCCAGGCTCTTTTCTGGTATGAATATAAGTGGTTATGAAATGTGCATGGCACCTATCAACCATTTATTTCAAACTTTCTACCCATGGTTTAAACAATCAAGGTTCTAATTAGAAAAAGTATAGGAACCTTTAGTACAGGAGAAGCAAACCTTGAGAGGTGGTCGTCTTTATGAACACTTAAGAATATTTGTTGTTAGGTTGCAAACTATTTTTAATTAGTGTATGGAGGAAAGAAGTGAAAAGAAAATTAGTAGATAGTAGACATGCATCAGTTGTTAGAGTCCAGTATTAGTTAAGCAGTAACTAAATATCAGCAGGCAGGAGCTTTGAATCAACAGGCAAAAGGCCTTGATGGTAGACCATTCAGCAAGCTAAATTTGGTTGAAACATGCAATTCAGTTATTGGGCACATTCAATATCTGAAGGGCAGTTAAAATATAAAATTTGATATTTATGAAACATGAATCTGAAGGATAGTCAGCACATGAAATTCATCAGACTGATGATATAAATTAGATACTAGGTAAGAATCATCACCCAAAATAATACAATCAGGTACAGCACTACATGAAAGTGTTACCCAGCATAGGGATTATGAATTCATAAATGCATTTAATACACCATAAAACCAAACAGTGCTGGCGTGACTAATGGCGTACATGTCAGTTTGAGGAAGTCCGATTGAGCAAAATACGAAGGGCATGGAGACAACATGATCACATAAGTTAAAGTCCATGAACCCATTGCACGCCTGACCATTTTCTCCATATGAATCAGGGGATGTGCAGCGTTAGTAAAATCACATGTTCTGACTGAGGAAGGGGATCCTGTGAGACCCCGAAACGTTGAACCAGTGTAATATGCTGCATTTACATCAATAAATAGACACATCTGCATCTGGAGTGCCGGTGTCCCTATTTCTATTTATGATCAAATAAGTGACATCAACATGTTTTCCATGTACAGAGATGCAGCTCAGAGACTCTGCACGCTGATAACACAACATGCAGGTTTTAAAGGAAGGTTTTTATTATTAAGGGAAAGCAAAATCCAAACCCACATGGCCCCATGTGAAAAAAGGTTTGCCCCCTAAACATAATAACTGGTTGGGCCACCCTAAGCAGCAAGAACTGCAATCAAGCGTTTGCGATAACTTGCAATGAGTCTGTTGCAGCGCTGTGCAGGAATTTTGGTCCACTCATCTTTGCAAAATTGTTGTAATTCAGCCGCATTGGAAGGTTTTCGAACATGAACAGCCTTTTTATGGTCATGCCACAGCATTTCAATAATATTCAGATCAGGACTTTTACTAGGCCACTCCAAAGTCTTCATTTTGTTTTTCTTCAGCCATTCAGAGGTGGACTTGCTGGTGTGTTTTGGATCATTGTCCTGCTGCAGAACCCAAGTTCGCTTCAGCTTGAGGTCACGAACAGATGGCCGCACATTATCCATCAGGATTTTTTGGTAGACAGCAGAATTCATGGTTCTATTTATCACAGCAGTTCCTGAAGCAGCAAAAAAGCCCCAGACCATCACACTACCACCACCATATTTTACTGTTGGTATGATGTTCTTTTTCTGAAATGCGGTGTTACTCTTACGCCAGATGTAATGGGACACACACCTTCCAAAAAGTTCAACTTTTGTCTCGTCAGTCAGTATTTTCCCAAAAGTCTTGGGGATCATTGAGATGTTTTCTGGCATAACGGAGACAAGCTTTTATGTTCTTTTTGCTCAGCAGCGGTTTTTGTCTTGGAACTCTGCAATGCAGGCCATATTTGCCCAGTCTCTATCTTATGGTGGAGTTATGAACACTGACCTGAACTGAGGCAAGTGAGGCCTGCAGTTCTTTGGATGTTGTGGTGGGGTCTTTTGTGACCTCTTGGATGAGTCGTCACTGCGTTCTTGGGGTAATTTTGGCTGGCCGCCCACTCCTGGGAAGGTTCACCACTGTTGTTCGATATTTGTGGATAATTGCTCTCACTGTGGCATTAAAGAAGTGGTAAAAGCAATCCTTTATCTCAGGATAATCGGGAGGAGTTTGAAGAATTCCATAAGCAATAACTGAACTGCCAAGCATTTGTGATCAGAGGTTAGAACGACATACTGCCCTATTTGTCCAAGGACATTCCAAATATATTATCTCTGGAAAATTCCAACAAAGCCTATCACCCTAGCCCAAATCTCTTCCAACATACTGCCTGAACATAAGATAATGGAGTGATGTTTTATTTTTTTTCCCCTAGTTTAATCAGTGACAGTTTTATATACAAAATATTAAAAATTATGCTTTTGGTAAAAATCATGGCAAAGATATTTACATATACATAATAAATATAGGTAGTGATAGTTACCAGTAATACAGAAGAAAGAGGAAGTTTGGCAAGGAAATAGCCAACTGGACGCCTTGCCATGTAGGAATCAAATAAGCAATACCAGGAATGATCATCACTCCCAATGTGAAAAACATCTGAACAACAATGCCAACAATACGTCTTTGTTTTGATCCCACCAACTCTGTAACTGAAAAGAAGAATAAAAACTGAATTAATCACAAGTATGCTGCAAAGCCTTTGTACTGTTAACTTTATCATATAACATTAAAGTGACACTAAACTCAAGAGTTAAATCTTAAAAAAATGCATTCAAGTGCCTTAACTATTAACAAAAAAATTTATCTTATTTGTGTATCACTCAGCTGTAGATCCTCACATCATCTCTGCATTTATACTGACACTGCTCTTCCTTCCTGAGGTTGGATACTTTTGTTCCCATGGTACCTGTGTATGTGTTGTAAAGTAGCCACTGCTCCAAGCTCGATCCCGGGATGGACTACAATCTCACGTTTAGTTTACTTATCTGTATTGAGATTGGAGTCCATCACTGGAGTGAGCTTGGAGGGGTGGCTACTTTACAACACACATAGGGACCATGGGGAACAAAAGTAGTGACCCTCCAGAAGGAAGGACAGTGTCAGTATAATTTAAGAGAAGATTTGAGGATCTAAAGCTGAGTGATACACAAATAAGATACAATTTTGGAAATAGTAAAAGGTACTTGAATGCATTTTGAAGATTTAACTCCTGCTTAGTGTCACTTGAACATAGGATACACCAGTAACTAGCAACCAGGTTATATTATTTAATGTACAATTATTTAAAACACTATGTTGGGAGGACAATCTGGAAAGGATAATAAGCAGCAAACAGCAGTATAAGCGCACTAAATAATTAAAGCTGGTGAAAATATTCAAAATAAATTACATTTGCTCAAAACACATTGTGCCAAACAATGGCCATGTGAGTGACTTTTGAACGCGTGATTAGCTCAAAAATCCAACATCATCTCAGCACATGGTAAAAATGTAGCATTCTTTCCATCAGAATATAAGCAGTACGAGCCATTATAGGTTTCTGATTGTGCGTATTTAATGAGTTTGTTTGATCATTTTAATTGAGGACAACCTACGTGGTAACAAATGACACTGTCATAGAGACAAATAAATGATTCAAATGTTGCAAATTTCTTCACAGAGGACTTGATTGTATATAAAACAAAATATACAATTAAGGATTACATAAACTATACTAATACAAATACTGATCCCTTGCTCTATCACAGTTACAAAGGCTGAAGTCCACTGGTCCAAAAGGTATAAAATGAATAAACATTTTTGAAAACCGGCATCTACAGTGATCCTTCCTGATACCTAAAGAAAACTAACAGGGTTATTCAATTAAGGGTGAAGAGTTTGGTGAAGGCAGGAGAAGTGAACAATCTATCACAACATATCTAAACTGGAAAGTGAGCTAAATTGGAGAATTTTTCCAAATCAGTTATTTTGTCCTAGATTGTTCACATCTCCTGCCCTCTCCAAAATCGTCACCCTTTGTGAATAACCCTGTAAATATTCCCAGGAACATCAATTGATAGTGTTATCACATATACATATTAATAGCCAGTTATATTCTGTGCATTAGGCACAAGATAATGTTCAACTAGAAAGACCCAAGATTTTTCATTTATACAAGAAATTGTGTAGTGTCCACGACATAATATTTAGCAGTTTTGCTTTCCTTTCTCTTATAATCTATGTATCTTGGTTTAACCTAATTTTACATTATTCTTGTATCTTGAACAATCATACTCATTGTCATGTTGTAAAGTTAAATGTAATATCTATGTAAAGTAGTAGAAGTGATGTCCCACAATATTTTTTCTAGCCATCCACCATCAAAAGCCTGTGTTGCTTTGCCTGTTTTTTTTCGTTCAAAAAGTTTTATTGTTTTGTCATTTTGTTAACACGTTGTGTAGACTCAAATAAACAAATTGTATCATAACCACCGCAAGTGGCAAGTACAGTGTATAACATATGCATCATAAGTGAAAATGCAGGATCATTCTAATTCAAAAAGATCAAAGTATAAAAGTATAAAACATAACATCAGTGCTGACAAAGTCCAATACAGGTATCAGTTTCCAACATTGGAGGGAATAACCAGTTAGTATGAACTTCGAGACAAGGACTGAGAGAAGTAACCTGAGCTAGTCGGTTCCAAAGGGGGGTGGGCACATCAAGATAAGGGAAGAAGGGAGGAAGTACAGTGGGGAAGGACAGGGTTAGAGGAAGGGGAAGGAAGACAGAAGGTAAGGAGGCAAAGTATAAGAGCTGAAAGGTAGAGACGTCAAGCTGTCGATCTGCTCTTCCGAGTCCCACATATTTAAATGGACAAGGAGTCTGCACCAAAGGAGGGAGGTATGACTCAATCCACGGTTCCCACAATTTCCCAAATGGCTCCATAGCATCCCTTTGTATTGCAGTGAGTTTCTCAAAAAACATCACACGTGATACTCTAGACTTCAGCAAAAGATACTTCAGCAAAAGGGAGGTCAGGGGATTTCCAAGCTTTCGCAATGACCCGCTTAGCCTCTGTGAGAATGATCATGATCAACCTGTGTTGGCGTGTCGTACACACCATAGGCTTTTTATGTAAGAGAGCTTCCAGCGGGTCCTTGCGAAACGTCTTGCCTGTAACAGTGTATAACAATTGATAGACTCTGTGCCAGAATCTTCGCACTTTAGGGCAGGACCACCATATGTGGAGGACCAAACCCTCCACCCGGCAACCCCTGAAACAATGCGGAGAGTGAGATGGGATAGCTTTGGAGATCCGGAGCGGGACTAAATTCCACCTGAAGAACAATTTGTAATTTGCCTCAATCGTTTGTACATTCATCGAACTTTTGGAGGTTGTCCTCCATATCTGGTCCCAAGTGTCAGGGGAGATGGAGCATCCTAGGTCTTGTTCCCATTTAAGGGTGTAGGCGGGTGGGGAGGCATGCAACGTTTCTAACAGTAAGGCATATAGGGCCGATATAGTCCCTGAGTCTCGAGTCCCATAGTGCAGCAGTCTCTCAAAGGGGGTGAGGGGGGGGAGGTTTCTCTGGGACCCCAGGCAGGTCAGCAAGAAGTGTTTGATCTGAATAAATTGGAAGATATGTCTGGAGGCTAGCTGGTGATCTGCGCAGAGCGACTCGAATGGTATGATTCCTTGTGCAGAACAGAAATCGTTAATCAGACTAAGGGTTTGCAAAAGCCATGGTTTAAAAGCAATTGGTTTGGAAAATCCCGGTTGGAACAGAGGGTTACCATGGATGGACATCAGAGGAGTGTGGGGGGACAGGCAGGGGCGTATCTTGAGTACAGGGTTGATAATGTTCCCCCGCATTTTGGGTGGTAGCCAAGGGAGATTAAGGAGGGAAATTGGGTGTAGGCGTAGGCTTCCAGCGAGACGCAAAGGGGCATTTCAGTTTTCCCAAAGCATTGTACCAGTGGAGCTAACTGGGCCGCCTGATAATATTTCTGAAAGAACGGGAGTCCCAGGCCCCCCTCTAGTTTGCTGCGATAGAGTACTCGATGTGATACCCTCGGGAATGATCCTTTCCAGACAAAACGGAGTATGCGCCGTTGAAGTAACCTAAGTCTAAAGGCGGGGACAGGGAGAACCCTTGCATGGTAGAGAAATTTGGGGAGCAGTGTCATTTGGACCGCTGTAATCCTGCCAATCCACGACAGAGGATGTTTCTCCCAAGAGGACAACAGTGATTCCATATGGGACAATAGGCTAGGGTAATTAGCTTGATATAGGCGATCATAGGAAGGGGTGAGATAGATCCCCAAATAGGGTAATGCTGTGTCCACCCATGGGTAGGGGAAGGATTGTTGTAATGAAGAGCATAATGCTGGGGGTAGGGATACATTCAACGCTTTAGACTTTTTCATGTTAACACAGAGCCCTGATAGAATGCCGAATTGGTGTAAGAGGGGTTGTAGTTGTTGGGAGGTCATTGGGTCAGTAATAATCAAAAGTGCATCATCAGCAAACATACTAAGCTTGTGATGATAACCTGCCACTTCTACACCTCTAATGTCCGTTTGTTGACGTATGACTTGGGCAAGGGGTTCTATAGCTAGCGCGAACAAAAGGGGAGAGAGTGGACAACCCTGTCTAGTCCCTCTGGTAATGGGAAATATCTGAGAGTGAAAACCCTGATATTGAACATAGGCGGAGGGTAGGGAATATAATGAGTCTATCAAGTGCATAAAAGAAGGCCCAAACCCCCATCCGGTGAGAGTATATCGCAAGTAGTCCCACCCGACCGAGTCAAAAGCTTTGCTAATGTCTAGGGACAATAACATAGTCTGGAGATTTTGTTGATGAGATATATGTAGTAGGTGAGCTATCCTCCTTATGCTATCTCCCGCCTGGCGTCCCAGCATGAATCCCACCTGGTCTCTAGAGATTAGGTCCAAGAGTGGAGACTGGAGTCTCAGGGTCAGTATCTTAGTGAGCAACTTCAGATCTACATTGATCAGGGAGATTGGGCGGTAGTTAGTCCAAGAGGTGTGGTCTGTTGCAGGTTTAGGGATCATACAAATCGATGACATTAATGATTCTTGTCGCAAGTGACCCCCGTCTCGCATTGCATTGAAACAGGTGAGTAAGTGAGGAGCGAGGGTGGTCGCAAATTTCTTATAGTAAAGGGCACTTAGTCCATCAGGACCCGGGCGTTTACTAAGTGGTAGTAATTTAATAACATTTAATACCTCATCCAAGGTTATAGGAGCATCAATCAAGAGTCTATTATCATCTGATAGAACAGGGAGGTTGAGGGTGGAGAAGAATTCACTGATATGCTTCTCATCTAAAGGGCCTGTGGTGCAGTATAGTTCGCTCAAGTGGGTTCGGAATGTATCCAGTATTTTTATGGGGTGAGCAGTCATTTGACCCCCACTGAGGCAAAGCCTAATAGGATCTCGTCTAGAGTTGGCCTCCCTAAGTTTGTGAGCTAAGATAGTGTCCGGTTTATCACCCTTAATGTAGAATTTATGTTTGGTCCATGCCATCCTATCATTCGCCAGATGAGTTCAGAGGTTCAGTTCAGTCTGGATATTAAATAGTCTGGTTCTGTGTGCGGGAGTGGGGTTCTGCTGAAAATTTTGGGAAGCTAATAGAAGGTCT